TTTTTTATCTGAATTTTATAATAAAACCTATTAGGAAAATTGATGTGGTTTTGTCAAAAACGTGGATGGACAAAAGTTACAAAGACTTTTCAAAATAATGCTCATACTTTTCTTTAACTAGAAAAACATTCACAATTGGTTTTCTTGCTCGAATACAAAACCTTAAGAGTAGACCCTATATCCTATGTATTAAATAAATTCAAGTACTTATGCATCTCTAATAATTGAAACTTAGGAATTAAAAAGTAGCATTACACCAAATGAATTAGGGGATTTCCATCATTTAGATGAAAGAATTGAAAATTACATAGAATTCTAAAATGATAGAATTTAGATTTTCATCATTTTAATTTTTGGCAATTGAAGATTTCAGTGTTTGGATTTATGTATGTTCAATTTTGTACATGGTACTTTGGAAATTGTGAAATTACGCCTATTTTGGTGGAAATTAAACTCGGGATTTTGATGCTCAAATTTCTACAATTTTTTCCGCACGCCATTTAATAAATTCCGCACTTAAGTTTCCAAACAAAGAAATTGTCAATTTCTCCACTTAAATTTCCGACTTTTAGCTACATTCCGAGTTATTTTCCCTCATCCAAACAGAAGGTAATGAGAAAAAAGAAGAAGAAGAAGTTGGTAGTTCAACAAGAATATCTCTTAGTTGAATGTTTAGAGCTGAGACCATAAAAGATTAATCTAAACTTATAATTTTGAAGACGAAAACCCTAGCCCCCTCTCTCCCAAAAAACACTCTACAACCGTTTTCACTTTGAGGGGGAAGCCTTTGTTCTTCCTCCCCTCTCTTCCTCCCTTATCTTCTTTTCCACCATTTTCAGAGACAGAAGGTTTCCCCTATTTGTCTTCGTTTTATAATGATTTTCCTCTACTCTTCACAGGCATATGCATCTCAGCGTCGGATCTCCACCTGCATTTCGGTGTCAGATCTCCATTACCAACCTTTTTGTTGTTTCTTCGTGTTTACTCTTTGGGTTTTCTACATAATTTTCACATCTTCTTTTATGAGAGTTTTTTACTTCTCCATTGTGAGAGCTTTTGACATCTCCCTTGTGAGAGTTATATTTGTATTGTTATGGCTTGGTTTTTTCAAGCTTTATCTCTTTTTGGTTATTCTAAATTTGTACTCTTAGTTGGGATGTCTATGCTAGAGTTTCTTCGACCATGCGTGATCGTTAGTGGAGAAGCCTCATATTGTCTTAATTTTGATGTTAGATTGCTTCATTATTGTAATGGCCCTCTGTGGCTAGTATGGCCCTTTGTGGTTAGTGATTTTTTTGGCTGAACTATGAATGCAATCCCATAATTTCTCCACACAAAAAAAAAAAAAGGTGAGACCATAAAGTGTGATTCATCCGTTTTTTTTCTCATCAATCCTAATTTTTGTCATTTTAGTAATTCATATAATTATTTACACCTTATCAAAAAGAAAAATTATGCATTTCCAAGGCTTTTACCTTATTACTATTCTTAGTTGAATAATGTTAGAGATCCCCTTTTTTCCCTCCAAAGTTAGGAAGGGAGACGGGGAAACTCACACACATGGGTACTATAGGGGCTTGAATCCAAGACCATTTAGGAGCACGGTGAGGACCATTTGAGATCCCACTCTTTATTATCCAAGCTCTATTAAATATGTGGTTTTAGATACGTAGTACAAATTGGCAATTGCTTTAAATATTTCAAATATGATATGAATTAGTCTATGAATTTTAGTTCAAGTGACATGAAATGAATAAGATGGTGATACAAATTTTAGAATTAGTGGGAAATTAATTACCAAAAACAAAGACATTTTGTAGGAAATTCAATGTCCATTTATCTTATTCAATACAATTATTGGTCCAAAAGGCCTTGGATAGTCAAAAAGAAAAGAGAAGAAATAGCCAACAAGATCTAACCCAATGGAAAAGGATTTTAACATATAGACAAGTGGTCTCATATTCGAATTCTTATGGCATCTTGGTAGTGAGTGTGAGAAACTCCCTCTTTTTATAGTTTAGATTATCGCTTGTATCTTTTTTATTTAAAAAGTATATAACTTATGATAAGGTGCTTGAAATTATTGGCATTTTGCTAATACCACACACCCAACCCAACCCATCCTGCCGGAGAAGAACATAACCATTATGCCCTCAAGAGGAAGAAGATGCCAAAGCCAAAGCCAAAACCCACCCAAAGCTGCGTACCCCTTACGTCCCTTTCTTTCACTATTTTTCATTTTTTCTATTCTTAAAAGCAAACCTTTTCCTTCACAATTCACCAAAACGATTCATATAGTCGTTGCCATTTTTCCAACTCTTCCACGAGTCTTTTTCTTCTCTCAAAACCCAATTCCCGTTTCCCTCAATTAGCTCGGATTTCATTTTCTCACATCCATTTTGTTCATTTCCCAATCTCTCTTCAATTGACAATAAGAATTTGGTCATGTGGCTGAGACTGAGAATTGATCTTGAATTACCATGAAGGGTCCTTGTAGAGAAGGCTGCTGCTGCTGCATGCAAGCATGGACGAATTGCCAGGGTCATTGGGCACCAGTGCCAGCTTGGCTCTGCGCTTCGGCCAGACCATCTTCTCCACTGCCTCCCTTCTCTTCATGTGCTTGGACATCCAGTTCTACAGCTACACAGCTTTCTGGTAGTTTCAAAATTCTTCAACTTTGGCTTTTTTTAGTTGAATTTCATCCAACCCTTTTGTGATCCTATCTTGTTCTTCAGCACCCATATCTTTGTTTTTGAATTTGATGGAAATTATTTTTTGTTACCTTGGTGCGCTATTGGAAACTGTCCAGATGATTGGTTTTGGTTTATTCTCTCTGAATTTTGACTTTTTGAGCAACTAGCAAGCAAGCAAATATTTTGATAATTATTGTAGAGAAGAAGGTGTCTTGTATTGAATTTCGAAAATTTTGACTAGATAATATGGACATGGGAAGGTTTACTTTGTGTGTATACGTTTGAATCAAAGTTAGATTGTGTCATTTTCGGTTTTCAACAGCTTTGAATTCTGGTTAGAACATTGTTGATCATTAACATATAATTATCTGGTTGTGTGTCCCTTAAGATGTGAAATCTGGTTTACAGACAGTGGGAAGCCAAATCTCTCAGCCTTCAAACTTTGAAGTGTTAACTTTCATGATAATGCAATAAGATTTCATTAGCTATAACATCCTTTCTACAGCTTTAGGCATATATGTCTGAGACAACATTTGCTAAAATTGGGGGCTTGATTTTTTTTCTAAACCATGTATACTAATGTGTTTGGGAAATAGAAAGAAAGAGAAAATGGGAGAATGTAGTCCAATTTTACTACTCTGAAATTGTAACCTGAGCTTTTTTTCCTGAAGGAAAAAATATCGCCAAATTGAAATTCATGTAGTTTCAACTGCTCTTAGTTGACTTTTTTCCCGCAAGGCTAATTTGCATATCTGTGGCATTGATGTTTCTAAATTCATTAATTTAGTCTTTGTGAATCAAGTTCTAGGATCTAAACTAATAATATTTCCAAAGAAGTCTAACCATGTTTGTACTTGTATTGATTCCCATTTTCTTGACCTACTCCTGATCAATAGCCTCTCTATTGGTGTTGAGTGGGTTCTGGAACCTGTTAAATATTGCCGTCTCTGAAAGAGGCTTCTTGGGTAGGGCTGGAATTTGAGGTTTAAGAAATTGTCCACCCTTAAAGCCAAACAAAGCCAAAAGACACTTGGGACAACATTGTTGGTTTTTCTCTTTGCTAAGCTGTAAAATCAATGGAATGCAAGGATTACATAGCGCTATTTTGAATTGTCTGTAAGCCATTATCAGAGATTTTCTGTCTCATTAATTCAAGTATGCAACGATGTAGGAGATGAAAGTACTCTTGGTCATCAGAAATTCTTCTATTAATCTTAGTAACCCTTACATTGCTTTGTTGATGCTGCAGTTATTTGGTGACAGTAATGGGTTTGGTAGTTCCATGGGGCATGACTTTGGTGATAGTGGATGCCTACTCTGTCTTTGTTAAATGTTTGCCTCGTCAACCAAGAATACTTATAATCATCATTCTAGGAGACTTGGTATGTGGCTTTCATAAATTTGTTTATTTCATGAAGAACTTTGCAGTTTCTTCCTTCTCCCAAGTGTAAAACAAATGTTTGTTCATTTTATCACAGGCCTTATCGTATCTCTCACTCGCTGCAGCCTGCTCGACAGCTAGTACAACAAATTTCCTACTTGATTCCGGTAAATCGTACTGCCCGGCAAAGTTATGTACTAGATATCAGTTATCCGCTGCAATGGCTTTCCTTTCTTGGTTCCTTTCACTCGGTTCCGCTCTGTTCAATCTTTGGCTTCTTCCTTCTTTGTAATGATCCGGTGGCTGTTGTGGTATACGGCAAATGAACTCTGCCAAGATTAAAAGAGTTATGTCAAGTGCATAAATTTTGGGAGAAACAAATGGGGTCGTTGTGAGATGAAGCTTAAAGATTTTCAAAGTTATTCTATTGAATTGTATTTTATTGAACAAATAGAAGGGAAAAAAACTCACCTTTTTTTGGTTTGCTTGTATATAACATTTATACCTGAAACCCTACTTCTCAAATCTTCATACGTGCAAATTCCTACCTTGTGTAACTATTTTGGCAAGAAGTGTTACATATTTCAGCATTAGTTCCTGCCTGCCTTAGAGGATTTGATTTACATGATTTATGTTTTATGGAAAAGCAAGAAAATGCTTGATACATGCCTTATTATATGGTCATTGTGTTTAGAACCTACTGTTTATGTGGCATTGCATCACCGTATCACAAACTATCAATTTAAAATCACACATTAAAATTAAAATTCACATGATTAATGATTCAAATTTACAGTTAAATGACGGATTGACAAAACAATATCTATGATTAAATAAATAAATAAATAACCATTAGTCCAAACCAAATGGCACCCCCAAAACCTTTATATTTCTAATAACATGGTATATATAATTTCAAAAAACCGTTACATCTACCATTCCCTCAAAACCAAATGCCCAACCGCCATGTCCTTCACCGCCAAATGCCCGACCGTTGTTTCCCGCCTCAAAAACCCTCTCTTTCACCATCACTCTCTGCACACCACTGTCCCTCAAAATCCCACGAATTTCACCCAAAATTTCAAGAGCCCCACGCACCAAACCCTGCACCACCTCCTAGAGCAATGCTCCTCCATGAGAGAACTCAAGCAACTCCACGCCCAAATCATCCTCCATAGCCTCACCAATGAAAACCTCACCCTCGGAAAATTCATCTCCTTCTGCTCCGTCAACCACGCCGGCAACCTCCACTACGCTCAGCTTTTGTTCGACCATGTTCATGAACCCAATAAGTTTATGTACAATAGTCTCATAAGGGGCTACTCAAATAGTGATGACCCATTTAAGGCTTTCTCGCTGTACTGCCAAATGGTTCGTTCAGGGCATTCGCCGAACGAGTTTACGTTACCCTTTGTTCTTAAGGTTTGTGCTGGGCAGTCTGCGTATTGGGAATCTGTGGTTGTTCATGGTCAGGCGATTAAAAGAGGAATTGGGTCTCAAGTTTGCGTGCAAAATGCTCTTATTAATGTCTACGGTGTTTGTGGGTCTATCCGGAGCGCTCGGAATGTGTTTGACGATATGTCCGAGAGGAGTCTGGTTTCGTGGAATTCGATGATAGGCGGGTATGCTAGAATGGGTTCATGCAAGGGAGCTTTTTTATTGTTTAGGGAGATGAGAGATTTAGGGGTTGGGCCTGATAAGTTTACCTTGGTTAATTTACTTTCTGTTTGTTCACAGTCTTGTGATTTAGAATTGGGACGGTATGTGCATCTTTATATTGAGGTTAGTGGGATTGAAGTTGATCAAATTCTGAGAAATGCTCTTCTGGATATGTATGCTAAGTGTGGCCATTTGCACTTGGCACAAACGATTTTTTATCGAATGACTCACAAAAATGTGGTTTCATGGACGTCAATGGTTAGTGCATATGCTAAACATGGGCTCATTGAATTTGCCCAGGAATTTTTTGATCAGATGCCACTGAAAAATGTGGTTTCGTGGAATTCAATGATTTCATATTATGTCCGAGAAGGCCAATGCAGGGCTGCCTTGGATCTCTTCCAAAGAATGCTTAATTCTGGTGCGTTGCCTGATGAAGCTACCTTGGTTTTCATCCTTTCAGCCTGTAGTCAAATTGGTGATTTGGTCATTGGAAAGAAAACCCACAGTTACATTTGCAACAGCAATGTCGCACCCAGTGTAACTCTTTTTAATTCCCTTATAGACATGTATGCAAAATGTGGTGCTGTTGGAATCGCCATGGACCTCTTTACTCAGATACCAGAAAAGAATGTAGTATCATGGAACGTTATCATTGGGGCCCTTGCACTGCACGGTTGTGGATTCGAAGCAATTAGGATATTCAAACAGATGCAAGCAGGTGGAATCTGGCCCGATGAGATCACCTTCACTGGATTGCTTTCTGCTTGTAGTCACAGCGGTCTTCTAGACATGGGGCGATATTACTTTGAAAGAATGGAGTCTATTTACAGAATATCACCTGAAATTGAGCACTATGCTTGTATGGTTGATCTGCTGGGGCGAGGGGGGTTTTTGGAAGAAGCAATTAGGCTGTTAATAGGAATGCCAATGAAGCCCGATATTGTTATTTGGGGTGCTTTGCTTGGTGCTTGTAGGATCCATGGAAATGTAGATTTAGGCAAACAAATTCTGAAGCAGCTTTTAGAGTTGGAAGGACATGGTTCTGGGCTTTATGTACTTCTCTCGAACATATTTGGTGAAGCTCACAGATGGGAAGATGTTAAGAAGATCAGGAAACTAATAAAAGATGGTGGAGTCATAAAGAGTAGAGCAGTGAGCTCCATTGAAATTGATGGCTGTGTTTATGAATTTATGGTTGATGACAAGAGACATGAAACTTCAAGCAGTATATACTCCATGCTTGATCAATTAACAGATCATCTAAAGTCTACTGGGTATGCTCCAAGTACATTTTTGGATATAGAGTAATTGTAGTGCTGCTGTATCAGTAAGTTAAAACCCTTAAACCCTCTGATATTTATTACACTTTTTAATGACTTGCAAACAGGCATCGACTGCTTGTGTTTTTTGTACCAAAATCATTGGGGAGAAACTCGCATTAACTACTTTGCTTTTGGAAATCAAGTTGAAGATTTCTTCGTATAGTCTAAATGGTCAAGTGATTAGCTACTCCCGACCGACGTGAAAAGATGTTGGTCTAGTTTTTAGTTACTGACTGACTGTATAAAAGTGGAAATTCAATCCTTGGGGTTCTTAAGTTGAGTGTGTGAAAAGTAAATGTGCCAAGATATTAAGTTGCAGCTGATCTTATGCAATTAAAATTATCACAGAACTAATGAATATCCTACTTCAACTGAGTAGGACATGTGTTATGTAACAAGAAGAAATATATTCTACAAGCTGGTTTCTTCCTTTCAGGATGTTCTGTGATTCATGCCATGTCGGATGATCAAGATATGCAGAAGATGGGGAGGCTTGCCTCCTCGTTCCCTTTAACCTATGCCAGTGTGGAATTAAGATTACAGAACAGAGCTTGAGCAACTGAATTCAGACTATTTCTAGCTCAGGAAAAGAATCATTAACATGGAAAACATGCCACAAGAACCTGATACTAAGTGATGCATCATGGTCATCACCAATAATGTTAGAAGACGAATTCAACAAATGTGAAAAGGCACATTGAAAACTATGAGTGCGTAACAAAACTTGGAAGGATGACCACAACCAACTTGCAGGTCACAAAACCAGTTGCGAGCGCTTCTTTTCACTACTTTTTTCTTGACGAATGAATAATCTGTTTTCCTTTTTATATGTTCAGAGCTTCAGTCAAGCTGCAGCTCATAGGTTGTGCAGCGGCTGCAGACGGATGGGAACAACTAGAACTTCCTTATAAGTTTTATTCAATATTATCGAATGCAAAGTAAGTATATATTTGTTCCTTTTCCTTCTGTCAAATTGTGTGTCAATTTATTAAGAGAAACTTTTGGATTATTGGGCATTATCCAATCTTTTTCTCTGCAGCTATATAGTCAAAAGAAAATCCAAAGTACAATCTTACCAAATCATACTGAGCCAACCAAGGAAAGAAGAAGGAAGGGCACATCCAATCCAAGGTATCTCCTTTTTGTTATATTTTTAATGGTGTCAGTTGTCTTGTCGAATAAATACGAGGGATAGGGGACAAAAATTCCTTGTATCTGTTCAAAATTTGTGTATTATTTAGCATTCAACCCTTTGATAATGCAGAACCAATTTGACCATGGAAGGGAGGTCTTCCCAAATCTTGAGCGGCTATAAGAGGTGGGGCCTTGACAACCATGCATGGATAAAGTGCTCTGGATCGAAGAACTTTCATGGTAATGACATTGGCCAACTTTATTATTATCAAATTCTGCAATGATAAAAATATATACTAAAGCGATATGTTGTCCGGCCTTTAAAAGTTTTTCAAATCTAACAACTGTGGTTTAGTATTAGTTAGATCGGATTCTTTTCAAGGGTTTGTCTGAATTCATAATCCACACATAATTGAGTAGGATTTGCTTTTATCCGGTTGGTAGGGTTCATTGTTTGTGTTGCCAACATGTCTGCATCAAATATAATTGATTTAGCAAACAAGAGAAAAACGTCGAAGCCAAAAATAAAATAAGATAGTTTGAAATTCATACTCATTAATGAATCAGATTTATTCATGCATGGAATGGAAGTATCCCCGATAATTCATAAGCAATAGTTTATTATCACAAAATTAAGTGCACATACATCTGGGCTAAGCCCAAATGAAAGCAGAGCCCAATAGATGGCAGAAAAGTCATCGGTGATAAGACATTGTTTTTGTCGAAAAAACCATTCTTTTGAAAGCACCTACAAGGCTGCATGCACGTGTATTGTAGAATTTTGTGGGGGGATGGGAGAGCTGAAGAAGCTTCAAGGAAAGAAAGGTTAGGGTTAGGAAATTGATGTGGGACATGTCAATAATTAAACCTATAAAGTAGCATTCATGTATTAAGTATTATAAAATAATACTGAGAACAATTAGTCGCTAATCTTTCAGACAAAGCATGGGGTTTAGATGTATTATATTATATTAAGCATTAAAGGGGGCCAACTAGCGAGCTCGTCTAACTAAAATGAAAAACATAAACATATCTAACAAACAATTAACAAAAGACATCACATTCCACGAACTCCATTGCCTGTGTGGTATTGTCGGGAGTTTGAGCCCTTGGAGACAGTTCCATAGAATATGTTATTTCAATTATTTGGTAGTAACAGGATCCATAATTGGTGATCATTTTCTCTCTCTCTCTCTCTGTGTAATGTGTGACAATTAAATTGAGTCCAATAGAACATGCATGGCAAACTGGTATTTTCTTCTTTTCTTTAGAAATTTATTAGTTTGGATGTGTTGCTAGTGTCTGAGGGATTACTGTGAGCACATGAATAATTTGATTTGTCATAATAGCTTCTTACAACCTTCCCCCCTATCCTCCAACCACACTTTCAACTGCAATTACACTCTTTTAGCTCATCAAAGGGTGATGTAACAATATGCTTAGAAATCCATTCTCAATGGATTTATATGACAAACATATATCTTCAATGTACGGACTTATAATGTTATCTTGTTTTGAAAATTTTGACATGTTATGTTGCGAAACTATTGATATAATAACTGTGCAATGTTATGATAGCATGTTGATCTTGATGAGGACAAAAGGACATCGTTTTTTTGTTAATTTTTATCATGTATACGGTACTACTATAGCACAATGGACATTAATGTAGAACTGTAATTAAATTTGCAGGAAGAAGTGTGTGGGTTGAAGCATAGCTAGCTAATAGAAACAGTAAAGGGCGGCCGAGTTTGGATGGATTTGAAGAATAAGTTAAAACAAAAAAAAAACAAAAAAAGGAAGAAGCTTGGCACCGGGATACATGGAGCATGCAGATTGCAGAGATGGGGCTCAAACCAGCAGACCCCCCAGAACAGCTTACGCCACCCTTTGTCGGATTGTTTGCAAATATACACATAATATTGCTACTTGTTGATTGAGTGTTGCACTTTCCAAGGCCCTTCTTTTCCACGTGCCCTTCCTCATGCCTTGCAGCGAAGCACCATGCCCACGTTTTCCTCTTCATTTTGGCCCTTTTCATTCCAGTCTAATTCATTCTCTGCCTCTCTGGACACTGCTGCCCTTGGAGTTGCCCCAATTTCCCCCTAATTCGCCACTTGTAGACGTTGCAGTGTAGCAGCCACTCAATCTCTTTTTACGACCGACTGTATATTCACTCTTTCTTTCTTCTCTGTTAAATTACCCTCTTCCTCTTCCAATTTCACCTGCAGTTTTGTCTCTGGATTTTTGAGTGACAAGGCTCCTATCATCTCGCTCAACTGCTCCCATGTGAAAAATCTCTATGGAATGGGATATTTTGTGTCTTGGCAATGTGAATATCATGTGACAATTAGAAAGTGGCTCTAGGTTTTACAATTACAATCCATCTTTCTTTTACATTTTACTTTTCACAATGATGATATTTTAAACTACTCTAATTCGACCTCACGTGCAATAGGAGGGACACACTACATTTGCCATCTTTCTTTTACTTTTGGTTCTATGTAAAATGTTTCTAGTGTTGTAGTGGTAGAAGTCACTCTAGATTAGTATTGCCTTTTGTCTAATATTTCAAGAATGCATAAAGTTCTTTTTGAGTAGTGGAGTCCAAGGTTTACGAAAAGAAGACAAAAAAGTAGAAGTGGGAAAATAAAAGAGGAAGTAGCGCATTTGCATGTACTTGAAACCTAACAAGCCCAAAGTTTTAGTGACCAAAATCTTCAAGGCTAAGAAAGGTTAAAAATGCAAAAATATCCAAAAGTGTAGTTATTTGGAGCAATTGCTCCTCTTTAGGAAAGTTTCTGAGTTTGAGTCATAATATCTGTCCAGTGTATGTGAATTTAGCTTACTATCGCCACTCTCAACAACAAAAAATCTTACTAAAAGAAAAGTTAAAAATCCACTTGGAACGTGTTTGGTAAGCACACATTATTGTAGGTATCGCTTTTGATGTGAGCATCTCTTTTTTGGTCTCCTTTCCGATGGATACTCAAAACCCATATAAAATGACTGTTTTGCAAACCCAAGGGAAGAAATGTTCTGGTTTTAAAGTGTAGTTATTTGGAGCAATTGCTCCTCTTTAGGAAAGTTTCTGAGTTTGAGTCATAATATATGTCCAATGTATGTGAATTTAGCTTACTATCGCCACTCTCAACAACAAAAAATCTTACTAAAAAAAAAGTTAAAAATCCACTTGGAACGTGTTTGGTAAGCACACATTATTGTAGGTATCGCTTTTGATGTGAGCATCTCTTTTTTGGTCTCCTTTCCGATGGATACTCAAAACCCATATAAAATGACTGTTTTGCAAACCCAAGGGAAGAAATGTTCTGGTTTTCAATTTTTAGTAAATAAGGACGATGATTAATATCAATACACTTGGATTTGTGCTTTGAAAAGGAAAATTATATTGATCTCATCATAAAAACTCTCCCACACCAACACAAAGGGGAAAGTGGGAAATATAATTGGAGCCATACGCTTAATATCTGTACAAAAATATAAAGTCTATAATATTATTAGTACCATCAAGATGAAGATAAAGATCAATATCATCATGCTTAGGTTAGGTGGGTCTCCCATGTTTCTTGAAAGGCCTTCCCAAGTTTAGCAAACCATTTTTCCTCCTTTTTACAGTATCTTTTCACATCACTCCCCTACTTATAGAAACTGCACTATTCAACACACAGTGAAGCACAGAGCGTAGTGGGCACTTGGTTTGAAGTCGTATCATTCACTCCTATCTCCCAATACCAGGTCCATACCATCATAGGTGGTCCAATAATACCAAAAGCGAAAAACAAGATAGTACAAAATGATTTGCAAACATTATAAACCCGAATCTTCGAATACGTAAAAATATCTGAATGTCATCCGTTTTCACGGACGTTGAATTTATATGATATGAATCGTGCATAAGCGACTGTCTTTAGCATAATCGGCAGATTTTACTGATATTTTCTTTGTTACTCATCAGAAGATAATATCACATGAGTCATATCCTTTTCCACAGTAAAAATGCAATAGCACAGAACTAGTACTACTAGTACTAGACTCTATGCAACAGAGGCTAGTCCCTGACCTCGTAATATAATCATGATAGGGGGTCATTTCTGAAGGACCCGAATTTCTTAACTCTCACAAAATCGGCACAAGCTGTCACCACCAACTTACAGCCTGGCTTTGGCCAAGCCCTGCCCACTTATCGAAAAAAACATTGCTTAGCTACACGACAAAATTCCGACGTGGCATCCCGGTTCAAATTACGAGCCCCCCTCCTCCCTCTATATATACCCTCTCTCTCTTCTCCACACCCTCCGTGCTTCTCCTTCAAGTCTCTCTCTCATCTCTCTCTCTCTCTCTCTCTTAACTCTCTGAGAATCCAAACTCAAATCCGAAACTTCCAAGACCCGATTTCGATCCAAAATGGGTATTTGCAGCTCGTCCAGGTCGACCCAAGTGGCCACGGCCAAGCTGATCCTACAAGACGGGAAATTACAAGAATACCCGTACCCAGTAAAGGTTTCCTACGTGCTTCAAAAGAACCCGGCCTCCTTTATCTGCAACGCGGACGAGATGGACTTCGACGACATCGTTCAGGCCGTTAATGAGAACGAGGAGCTCCAACCGGGCCAGCTCTACTTCGCTTTGCCACTCAGCTGGCTCAAGCATCCATTGCAGGCGGAGGAGATGGCCGCATTGGCCGTCAAAGCCAGCTCCGCTCTTATGAAGAGTGGGGGTGAGAAATGCGGGTGTCGCCGCAATTCGGTGTCGCCGGTGATAATTTCGGGCGAGGAGGTCAAGGATCGCCGGCGAGTGGTCCCCGCCGGTGGTGCGTCGAGGAGGGGGAGGGGTAGTGGGGGAAACAGACGGTTTGCGGCGTTGTTGGGTGCGATTCCGGAGTAGGGATAGTTTGGGAATTTCAAGAAAGGGTATTTGTGTAAATACATTGTAATGATCTGTGATTAGTGGGTCGGTAGATTTACTGGATGGTATTTTTGTTTTGAGAGCTTTATTTGTTCTGTCAGCCATTTGGGGGTTGTATTACAATTTTGCCCCTGACTGGTTTTGAGAAATATGAAGAAAAAAAAAAGGAAGAAAAAACAACCATACAGACAAAATTACTTGGCGTCCAAGATTTAAATTGACTGAGCATATGCAAACAATTAAATTTGGGAACAATGCGTACGTTACAATTCACCAAATTACTTTTTTTTTATTGCTATCACACATTACATTGTTATTGACAGGAATATAGGAGCTCCTACTTAAGAAGGGAAATATTTTCCTTAAAAATAGTTAGCTAATAGAGATATTAACTCTTTCGGGTTTTTCACATATATTCTCTATACTATAAAAATAAAATAAAAAACACTCTGGTGCGCTTTTAAATGGAAAAATAGTGACACACTAGTTGAAGATATTTTTCTCACTAGTTGAAGATATTTTTCTCAAATTGTTTTCGTATCAAATATGTAGTTGTCAAGGTGTTTTTTTTAAAATTTCTAATTTACTAAAATAAAGAATGTGGTATATCAAAACAACCAAAGGGCACTTAATAATTCACTTGATTATTTGAACTGTGTTTTGGATTCTTTCTTTTGAGGTGCTTTTGGTACTTTTGACAAAATTGCAGCAAAGTAAAACCATTTGCGTATGCATAGGCATTCTGTGAGGTGAGTTGAAAAGTGCTTTTAAATAAGTTGATGGAAGTAGAGAAAGAAAGTGACAATGATGTTTAATTTATTAACAAGAGAGGACCAAGGTTTCTTTTGACTTCTCCTTTGGGTTGAATAATATCTTGATGTCAATCTCATCTGTGAGTGTGTTATTGTTAACGGAAATAAAGAAAGTGCTTTTTCAATAAGTCACTTTTACGCGGAAAGGGTAGGAGGATGGTGAGAGCAGCAGGAGGAAGTGCGTAAATTAATTGGATTTGGAAGCTAATTCCAGGGTCCAAGCAGGCTGCTAATTAAACAACACGGTATTGGTTTATTTAGATTGGAAGTACCGAAATTCTTTACAGCTGTAGTAGTTTATAGTAGTACACCATCAATCATCATCGTACAATGGATGTGTTCTAGGGATTTATGACACATTAATTTCCTTCTCTTCTTCTAGACTTTTCAAACATAGTTTGTATTTGTTATCTCGAATCGATTATGTTTTTTTTCATATACTAAATATGGTATATGAATCGGGTGATATAATTCATATTAACAATCTGATTTGCAGAACGTGTATTATTATCTCAAAACAGACTTACGTCATCGTTGTTATTCAACCACGCACTTAAACTTATTATCTCGAATAATATTCTCTTACTAACTTATTTGACATTAACGGTTCAAATTTACAGTCTAATTCACAGCTAACAAATTGAAGGAACATTTTGCAATAACATATTAGATGTTTGATGTTAGGGGTTTTTAGATCTAGGTCCAAAACGATTTGCTGTCATTGAGTTTAGTCCTCGTGTTTTTGGTTTTAGATGTAGATCCTTTGACATTTATTACTTTTTTGTTGTGTCGATTTTACCCTTTAAGGTAAATAAGGAGAACACATTGAAAATCTAAATTTAATGCATTATTTCCTTGAAATTGAATTCCAAATTTTGAATTTTGAATTTTTTTTCCTTGATAATATTCCTAATATATAGATAAAATACAATTTAATCAATAAAAAGTAAAGACTCACATATTATACAAATCGATCAGACAAGCACCCACATTAAATTATGTACCTGACATACAGGTAAATAATGTTAATACATACAGGTATATATGTACCTGCCTTATAGGTATATATATACCTGCCTTACAGGTAAGTATTTTTTTCTTGAGTTTTCTTAAGCAGTTTTCTAGAGGTTCATATTTATATACATACGTACATGTCTTCCATGGATTTTTATCTCAGTTGAGTTTGAAGATCCATACCAAGATATTATATGAGTTCAATTAGCTGGGCTAGAGGGTATAACTACCTAGACTAGAGGTATGAAGTTTTTATGAACTCTTATTACAAATTTTGATGTCGGTATACCTTGGGAAAATTTCAGAATTCAATAAATAGATTTGCAATTAAATTCAAATCAAATATGATAATTAATATCCTACAAATCAATAACTTACCAGTTTTAGGAATTCATAATTTACCTTATTTATGTTTTAGGTGCATAACTGGAACAAAAAATAAAAAATAAAAAAAAGTAAATATCAATAAATTGAAATAGGCATATAATCTTATGTGGCGCAAAAGTCAAAGGATTTGGATCAACAACAATTTCTGCGTGGATTGCACCCAAAGTCTCTCCTCATAATTGGACTTATGCCAAATTTTCTATTGATGTTAAAGGTTAAGAAATGATGATGAAAAAT